GTGGGGACCCTGGTGTGGGGACCCTGGTGTGAGGACCCTGGTGTGGGGACGCAGGTGTGAGGACCCTGGTGTGGGGACGCAGGTGTGAGGACCCTGGTGTGGGGACCCTGGTGTGGGGACCCCGGTGTGGGGATGTTGTCTGGGAAAGTTGGTAAGAAGGTGACGGTGAAGGGATACTTGTCAGTAATAATCGTGAGTCATGAGGATGAGGGAGTGGGGCACACCTGAGAGGGGTGGTGGTGAGGTGACACTGGTGTGAGCAAGTTGTCCAGGTGACCCTTGGAGGAGACACTGTTGAAGGAACCCTGGAGAGGGGACATATCTGAGGGACGCTGGTGAGGAGACATTGGAAGAGGAGGTTGGTAAGGGAATGGTGGTCATGGGACACTGGTGCGAGGTTGCTCAGGGGGATGGGTTGGTGAAGGATTGGTGGTGAGCAGACACTGGTGAGGGGAATTTCATGAGGGGATGCTGTGGACTGACGTTGGTGATGATGTGGGCATGCCTGCCAGGAGATGTTGGCAAGGGGTGCTTCTGGGAGGCACCGGGCATGGGGCACTCTTGGCTGTGTTGCTCGGGGTGTTGGTGAGGCCGTATGGGCGGGGAGACAGTGCATGGGAGCTACTGAGGAGAGGCTGAGTGGAGGTTGGTGTGGCGGAGATGACGCTGAGGGCATCTTGATGAGGGGCCACTGCTGAGAGGAGAGACAGTGGGGGTGCTTCTGACGGGACACTGATGAGGGCCGTTCATCCGGGGCCTTGGTGAGGATGCTGAGCGGATGACAGCAAGGGGATATTGTTTAGGGGTGCTGGTGAGGGGGGCCGGGGCTGCGTGGAGAGGTTGTCATTGTTTGCACATGGCTTAGGAGATGCTGGTGAGGGAGCAGTGGCACAGGGCCATCGCTGAGCAGGTGCTGCTGAGGGGTGTTGGGGAGCGGCCGCTGAGGAGGGGGAGGAGGCGGCGGACCTGCTGCGGCAAGGGTGCTGGCACAGCACGAGGGTGTGGGGTGTGCAGGAGCAGGCGCTGGGCCGGGAAGCCCGGCGAGGGATGGGGAGGTGGCCCTGCTGAGGAGGCGTCCGGGTGGTGACACTGGAACAGCGGGGACGTCGGTGAGCTGTTGGTGAGCACGTGCCGATGAGGGCAGCGGGCAGCAGCGTCTTGGGGGGAAGTTTGCTGGGATGTTGTGACAGCATGCTGCGGGGCTGTTGGTGAAGGGGTGAATTCTGGTGCGTGCATTTGGTTGGCGGGACTTCGGAGCGGTGTTGGTGAAGGCGTGTTCTTGAAGAGATGTTGGTAAGGAGCGGCTGCTGTGTGCACGTCCGTGATTTATTTGCGGGCGTGTTCGGGTATATTGGTGCAGGGACCTTGGTGTGGGCGTATTTTGAGTAACGTTGGTGAGGGGATGCTGACGTGTCATGTCGGCAAGTGAATGTGAGGTCGGGGATGCTCTGGGTGTGTCGGTGAGGACGGGTGTGAGAGAGTGTAGGTGAGGCTTGCTGGGATCTGGGCAGCATTTGCTGGTCTGCTATAGCTGGTGGAGGGGCGTTGGTGAGAAAGTGGGAGTGAGTGGGAGCCTTCTCGCCGATCGCTGGCTTCGGAAGTCTCCTCTCTGGGACTGTCTTTCTCACCCTCTCTGGGTCTGAGGCACACATGCAGGGATTGGCATCACAGAAAGTGCTATCTTTTCCCTTCAGAGGCATCTAGGTCATAGTTGTGTGGGGTGAGCTCTGACGGGTGGGGGCCCTCTGGGTCCCTGTGCCTTCTCCTCCTCAGGAAGTTTCTGATGACAGTGCGGTGGTCTAGGGTGACACTCAGGTGGCAAGGACTTGTGGGAGAGGGTGAGTCTCCTGTTTTCTGTGAGTGGGGAAGGAGGGGAGGGGGATAGAACAGTGGGCATTCTCACTTTCAGCTGCAAGCTGTGCAGTCCAATGGCAGAGAGGTAGAACATAAAAAGTGAGTGAGTGACGCCCAGGAGGGGACAGATGAGGTGCCGCAGAGCACTGTGGGAAGAAGGGTTGCCCCTGAGTTCATGTCTTGCATGTCAGAATATGAGCTTATTTGGAAACAGGCGTGCAGAGGCCACACTGGGGCATGGCGAGCCCTAGTCCAGATTGACTGGTATCCTTATGAACAGAGGACTTGGGCAAAGCAGTGAGGATGATGATGGCAGCTGACTCAGAGCAGCAGTGGACTGTGGAGCAGCCGCCCACAAAGGAACATCATTAAGTTCCTGCAGGACCACAGTTTAGATAAATTATTAGGATATATTTAAAAATGCAGCCAAGATAGCAAACAAGGGTCTTTAGGTTACAGCCTATAACCATCTTGTTGAAAATAAGCATTTCTAGGGTGTCCAAAGGATAAAGTGAGCAAGTGAAAAATGAAACCTACAGAAACAGTCTGAAGAGACTGGATGAGGGTCCACCAGAACTCACAAAATCTAAGCCAAAAAAGGGAGATGAACCTGTCCCCAAAAGGGAGACCTTGCTCACTGTTGGTGTACAGGAGCACAGCAGGCTGGGGCTGCGGACACTGCTGCTCAAGTGAGCTCAGAGAAGAACATGAGGACTCACATTTTAAGGAAAAGTTAGCAGAGTGGGCGTGGCACTCCTGACGATGAGCGTAGAAGAGCAGGACTGGAACAGGACCTGTGTGGGCATATGGAGAGAGGACAGCCCCCTGCCAAAGTTTCACCAGTGGCCAAACTCATTTCTGAGGTAGAATTAGTGGATGGTGATTAGAGTAGCTGCATTTCAGATATAAAAACACTAGCAACAAGGGCAAAACTTGACCCTGAAGCTTAGGGAATTAAAGCTTGTCACCCTCAGAAGGGAAGAATCAACTGGAAAACTCAAGGCTCTAGTGTTAAAACTACCAAGCCCAACTTCTGAGAGATGTCATCCCTCAGAAATCCCTGAACTCTGAAATATTTTACTACTGCTGTGCACAATACTGGATACAGAGAACTGATTTTCCTTTTACCTCATGTTGTAAACTAAAAGGCTCAATAAAAATTTATCCCCTGTCATTAAAAAAAAAAAGGTGAATTTGGACAGGCAGAGCACCACGTGAAGTCAGCAAGGGCTGCTGCAAGCCAAGGACTAGCAGGGCTGGGAGCTGGTGGGCACCGTCTCCCAGGTGTGCTCCAGGGGAGGTGCTGTCTGCCTAAGCTCCAGGCTGGACTTGTGGCCTGGGACTGGGAGGCGATGAACACTGGAGGCCACATAGCCTTAGATCACAGAGCACAGCACCTGCCTCCGGGACCCTCCTGGACAGTGCACCTGAACTCACCACCCACTCAGCAGTGTTTCTGGCCGGCGCCCACAGGCTGGGGCTGTCCGAGTACATTGCCGGGGAGTGTGGTGGCCAGTGGTCCCGGCCCCTCTGGGACATGCAGGACACCGATCCGTCCAGGCGGGTGTGTGGCCAGGCTGCGTGTGCAGCTGGCAAGACCTGGGTCAGGCACAAACAGGAGCTGCGGCAGCCTGAGGGTTCAAACCTTTATTGGTCTGTGGAGTACGTGGCTCAGGGTGCTGGGGCTGGCCCTCAGGAGTCAGGGTGGGAGCAGGGGCCGGGCGGGGGCACAGGGGTGGCAGAAGCCTCTGGAGGGTCTGCGCTAGTTGAGGGAAGCAGGGGCTGAGGGTAGAGCCAGGAAGAGGGCACCGGGGGCCTCTGGGGTGTGGGGCCCCGAGGGTGGGTGTGGGCAGGACGGGGAGGTGGGAGGGGAGCCCAGGCAGCTGGGGGGCCGAGGCCTCGGGCTCAGGGTCCTCGGTCTGACTGCCGTGGAGGAGGCCCCGTCTGGAGGCTGGGGTCTGGTTAGCACCTTGGGTGGGGTGGCGATTCGCACAGCCCAGGCGCGTCACTAACAGATCCAGCGGATGAACCTGTCGAAGAACCTGGGCTGCGCTAGGCTGTCGAAGTCCTTCTCGCGGAAGATGGCGGCCCTGTCCCCCAGGCTGATCTCGGCGAGCACGTGCTCGTCCACGTCGCCGCCCACAGCCACCACGGTGGGCACCACGTTCTGCTTGCGCATGGAGTGCACAGCCTCCTGCAGGCTCTCGTTGCCAGTGACACCGTCGGTGAGGAACACAAAGGACAGCTCGGCGTGCCGCCGCGCCCCGGCCCGGGCACCGCGCACCACGTGGTTGATGGCGTGCACGACGCCCGTGCCCACGTGCGAGAAGGAGTTGAGGTAGCGGGCGTCCTCCAGCGCCTCCCGGATGACGGTCAGGTTGGCGGTCAGTGGGAAGGCCAGCTGCTGCTCCTGCGGGCCCCCGAACTGCAGCAGCGCCAGCCGGGCGTTGAGCGGGTCGTCGTCCCTGCGCGCCAGAGTCAGGCGCTGCGCCACCTCCTCCACGAAGCGCCGCACCTTGTGGAAGTTCTGCTCGCCCAGCCGCTCGGAGCCATCCAGCAGGAAGACAATGTCCACGGGCCGCTGTGTGCACTGCGCCACGTACAGCTCTGTGGGGAGACGCGAGGTGGGCACTGGTGGGTGGAGGCAGGTGCCAGGGCCGGAGGCCTTGACCAGGCTGCGCTAGGAATGTGTCCTGCTCCTCTGGGCCTGCCCAGCTCCCTGAGAGCCTTCCTGCCAGGACTGAGCCCAGACTCAGGCTGAGGACCGGGCTGGGGCTCCCATCCAGGCGGCCACCTCCAGGCCCCCTGGTCCAGAGCCATCTGCACAAGGACCACCTTGGGTGGGAGGGGGAGGGGGAGGGGGAGGGGGAGGGAACCCTCAAAGACGCCCGGCCCTCGTCTCTCTCTTGGCCCTGATTCTCTGCAGCTGGCTGGGCCACGTCTCTCCCAGAATGACAGCTGTGTGCTTTCCACTTGGTGCGGCTTTCCTGTGTGCGAGCACAATGTGGCCAGACCCCGAGCAGCTGGCATGGGCCCCGCTAAGATGCATTGTGACCAGAAGACCCCTCCCCGTGTGGACGGTCACCAGCCTGGCCAGGAGGGACAGAGTGTGGCTGCAGCCAGGGCTGAGGCTGGGCCCTGCCTACACACGGCTTCAGAGACCATGGACTTTTACCCAGCTATCTGCGTTCCAGGGACACAGAGGGCCCCTCAGGGTGAAAAAGGGGGGGGACGCTGACACAACCCAGGCCTTAGACTCCTGGGGATCCCATTGGGAACAGAGTCCTAACCCTCAGCAGTACCACCAGGATGCTCAGCATCCCCCCAGCTTGAGGGACCCCAGGTGCAACCTGTCAAAAGCCCACTTGACCACAGCAATGCATTCAGTTTAAACGTTTCAGCTTTTATAAAACTTTCAGCATTTGCTCACTGTGCCTGAGGACAACCCCCCCCCCCCAGCGAGAGAGCCTCTGCTGGACACTTCACTCAAGCTTATTCATGATGTAGCTTATTTTGGTGCACATTGCTGCTGGAACTTGCTTAGCAGATCTGGTAAGTTATCCCCGAGCCCCCTGAACTATGACCCACCCACAGACGTTCCTACAGACTTGGAGATGGACGTGCAGTGGGGTGGCAGGTTCGGGAGGTGACTGAGATGCACGGCAGGTGGGAGTCAGGATTCTCGGGCTCTGCCTCCCCCTCTATGGGCTCCCTTCTCCTGCCTGCACCCCGCAGCAGGAAGTGTGGCCTGGCACATGGTGAGGGAAGGATGGGAGCCCAGCCAGGATGGGGTTGCTCCTCTGGCTCAGGTGTCCATGTCTGAGCTCACCTGGGCTGGTGGCAGGGGCATGGCCCTAAAGGCTTCAAATGGGGACCAGGGGCCTCCAGACTGGGAAGGTGAATTCCTGCATAGAAGACCCTGGTTATGGGGCAGCCCTGGAAAGCTACAAGCTATAAGCTCTGCATGGGAGCCCCACGGCTTCAGCACAGAGCCAGTGCGGACTCGGGGTCCCCTGTGATGTCCCTGTGCACCAGCTTAAAGGTGTCAATGAACAGCTGCATCCAGTCCTGCCGCTCGACCCCTGTGGCAAACTTGGCCCGCTCAGCGGTGTAGACCATCATGGCCACCAGCTGGGAGTACGAGGCTGGGTCCTGTGTGAACTCCGTGGTGTTTAGCAACTGCTGGATCAGGGGGATGGTCCTGGGGAAGGTAGGGTCTGGACCCTCTTCCGTGCGGAGGAAGGTGACCCGGGGCTCGCCGCCAGGCCTCGGTCCATCTGCAAGGGGCGTCCAGAGAAGACGTTAGGCCTCGGGCGTAGGCCTCTCCACGGAGGCAGAGCGAGGACCAGGGGGAGGGCGCTGGGCAGGCGCGTGTGCGGAGCTGCAGTTGGCGTGGTGGGCGCAGGGCCTGGGCAGGAGGCGGCGGGTGGGGAGTTGGCAGCAATCGACAATTCGAGGGAGCAGATCGAACGGTGGCACCTGTGGCCACTGGAGACCTCGAGGGGAGTTCTGGGCGGAGAGACCGCGCAGACACCACCGTGCCTCGCAGAGGTCTGGCTGGCGCAGGCGCAGCCGCAACACCCGTACCCGCTCCTCCCTCTCCCCCTGCCTCGCTCACTCAGCGGGGCTCGGGTCCGGAAGGAGGCATCAGCAAACCTGAGGCTGTCAGAGCAGCCCAGTCCACGGGCCTGGTCCCCAGTGCACTCGGAGCTCCCTGCATCCAACCCCTCCTGAGCGCAGGTTCGTGTCTGACACCCTCGGTGGTCCCGACACGGCTGAGGTGCGCCCTGGCTGGGGTTCTGGGTGGATGGGGCTGTGTGGCCCCGGCTGCTCACCCAGCACATGTTTGTAAAGTGTGCTCCACGGCAGCCCTGTCTAATTTGCCCTGGAGCCACATGTGGCTGTAAAGGGGCACTTGGTAAGTTCAGCATGCGGGCTGTAGAGGCTGGGACGGAGGATTAGGTGGGCTCGAGTGGCTGAGGTCACCATTTCCTCCCTGTCCCCTTCACTGTCCCCTCCCAGAGCCGGTGTGGCCCCCCCATCCCCCGGACCTGCCTGGTCCAGGTCCTGCGGCCACTACACCCTGAGCCCAGCGTTGTCTTGGCCCAAATGGCACTGACGTCTCGAGAAAGGGAGAGGCAGACAGCAGAGCATGCGCACAGAGCACACCGAGCACCTGCACTCTGGAGCAAGTGCATGGCGCTCAGCACCCAGCAGGCCCTGCTGCAGCCCCACACCACCCGCCACGCTTGCAGGGAGGGGTCAGTGGATCTAAGCCCAGTCCTCATCGAGAAACACGGCTTTCCTGCCACGGTCAGGAGGAAGCAGGGGCCCTGGGCTGTGGCGGCGGGCTGGCTTCTGCCAGGGCCTGAGCTGTGTGTGGCATCTGCTCCCCATGCACAGAGCCGGGAGGCCCCGACCCTGCTGGGGCTCAGACCAGTGTTGTGCCAGGCAGCCCCTGTGGAAGTGCTGCTCCCTGGAATCCCACAAGGCCTCTCGTGCAGTCCCCAGATCCTGCATCTGGCAGGGACCAGGCCCACATAGCTGTCCCCAGAGAAGTGTATGGAGTGGCTGCCCAGGCATAGCTGTAGAGCTGGTCCTGGGACATCCTGTCCCCGCTGAGAGGACTGGCCCTCAGACTCCCTCACCCTACCTGCCCATAGAACCTGAGGATTGCTGCCTGTGCCTGGGGGGACACGACCATCTCCACGGTGAGTCCTGGGGACTCCTGGAAGGGCAGCTCCCAGGGCCCTGGTGTTCAGTCATCTGCAGCTTCAAGGCGCAGCGGAGCATAGGTACACCCTGCCCTCCCCAGCCCTGGCACTGCCACTGTGGGCCAGGATATGAAGGCTGCTGGCAGGGTTAAAGCAAGCAGTTGGCAGCCACATGGCTGTTGGCACATCTGCCTCAGAAGTCTTACATCAGCTCTTTTGTCCTCCAGACCCGGGGGACGCACCACCTAGTGCGTGGGGAGACTTCAAGGCCACAAGCAGGGACTCCCTACCCCCCACCCGACAGCAGCCAGGGACCACACGGTGCAGGCCAGCAGCACTGCCTGTGGTGCCAGACAGTCTGATGCCGGGCTCACCCCAGCACTGGGCCCTGGCACCACCCATCCCAAGGGTGTTCCCCCGGGGGACATCTTTACAGCACATGGCCCAGGTCCCACAGGCCCCTCAGCCCTGGCCCTGGAGCCTAGGAGGGCGGATGCCAGGGCTGCTCTGCCAGCCTGGGGTGGGGCTGGGGTTCCCACATTACCTGTTTGGCAGGGAAGCTCTGGACACACAATCTGCGGGTCTGGGAGAGAGGAGGGCCAGGGTCCCCATCAGCGCCCACCAGGCCCTCAGTGGCTGCCCAGTGGCCCGCCTTGAGGTCAGCACTGGGTCCTGCTGCCCACCGGGGAACGGCTGCTCTCCTGGGCATGGGACCCCCTCCCACCCGGGCATGGGCCCCCTACCTGGGCACAGCACATCCTCCATGTCATCGATGAACTTCTCAGCCACCAGGTCAGAGAAGAGTGTCATGTTGCGCACCTGCTGTGGCTTGTCACAGGCAATGGAGTAGAGGTTCTCGCTCTCGTGCCTCTCGTGGAACATGTCGCCGATCCCGATGGCCGTCACCGTGACATCACGGTCACACAGCGCCCGCAGGTTGAGGTCGTCGTCACGTGGGTCATGGCGCCCATCCGTGATGACCACGGCGAACACGCGCGTCTTCTGGCGCCGGCTCTCCTTGATGAGCTGATTGTAGGCGAACTTGAGGGCAGAGGGTGTCCAGGTGCCACCCGCGATCCACTCCAGGTTCTTGACGGCCTCCTTGAAGCTGGACAGGGAGTCGATGCGCTCGTCGTCCAGCTGGATGGCCTCGAAAGTGCCCTCGTGGCTGTACTGCACCACGCCCACACGCGTCCCTGCAACGGCCGCTGCGTGAGGCGCCCCGAGGCCAGCGCAGTCCCCAAGCGACGCTGCCAGGGACAGCCCACCCCCCGACCTGTCTCCGACTTGGGGTCCTTGGCGATGGCCCCCAGCCTGTTGACCACGTTGATGACGAAGTTCTTCTCCAGGGTGAAGTTGGTGTAGCCGATGCTCTCGGAGCTGTCGATGACGAAGACCACGTCCAGGGCGCCACAGCGCTTCTCGCAGTCTGAGGGGCAGCAGGGTCCATGGGCGGGGCCCCAGGGCCACAAGAGACCCCCAGGCCCCGGGAGGCAAGGATGGGGGCCATGACTCACCACAGCACCCACAGGTCTCCCTCACGTAGGTCATGACGTCGCACTCCTGCAACATGGCACATGGGTGGTGTCTCAGGGAGTGGCCCCAGGGGAGTCCCTGACCCTGGGCACCGTGATGTCCAACCCCGGTATGACCCACGTGACCTCAACCCCTGACCTCGCCCTGCCCAGCACCCCCTGCTGCTGCCCTCGTTCCTGGTGTTTAGGAGTGAGAAGGACACTACCAGACCAGGATGCCGAGTCCAACCTGTGACACCTACCGTGAGGCCAGGGTCTCCAGGGGGGCCAGGCTCGCCCTACAGGAAGGAGGGCAGTGAGGCATGGGAAGAGCACACTGGCCAGGGGCAGCCCCGGGTGCAGACAAGGGACAGGGACCAGCCTACCTCGGGTCCCGGGTCTCCTCTGGGCCCCCGAGGGCCCGGTTCTCCATGGGGACCAGGATCAGCCTGTGGAGGAGAGCGCAGGTGGGCTCAGCAGTGCCCTGGGTGGGTCCCTGCTCCCTCGAATTAGCTGTGTCCCCCTCCTGGGCATGGCAGGCATTGCTACCCGCTCAGGAATTTCCAGGCCCTGCCACCCGGGAGGGCGGAGGAATGCAGTGCAGTGGAGCTTGGGTGCTGACGCAGACAGCGCACCCCGGCCGGCCGTGGCTGCTTTCAAACATCCACCCACCACTGTCCCTCACGCCCAGTCGAGCACCCACCTGCTCCCCCAGCCCTCCACCCATCCCGAGACACTCACGGGCTCCCCCTTTTCGCCTTTCCTCCCAGGTCTTCCTTTCATGCCGAAGTCTCCTCGACCTCCCTGTGGCAGGGATACCCGTTAGTTGGGGTGGGGACGTCCGTCTCCGGGCTCCGCCTACCCTCAGAGACCTTCACCAGCCCGCCAGGGACGTGGCCGTGCTGGCAGGGGGGACCTGGCCGTGGCTGTCGGCCACCTCGCAGGGTCACTGGCTGCAGGGCCTGGCCAGGGTAGGGACGTGGCTGTGGAGACCACCATGGATGCAGCATGCGATGCCCACCCTTGGAGCGGGGAGAGGCCCAGACGGGCAGGGCCTGCATACCTCTGGGCCAGGCGGGCCAGGCTCTCCTCTCTCTCCCTGGGAAGGAAGCAGAGGTCAGACTTGCCCGCCTCGGGCGGGGAGGGACAAGCCCCAGCATCAGAAGGAGCTCAGGCGTGCCTCAGGCAGGGGCCACAGGCACCATGCGTGCCACATACGCTGTCCCGAGGATGGGCCCTGTTTGTGACCCCTGACCCCGCACCGCTCCTGACCCCAACAGAGGAGGCCTAGAGGGCCCACTGAGAGCAGGCCCAGCCCCGTCCCGGCCCCTGACCCAGGCCCAGACTCACCGGTGTCCCCCGGGGTCCTGGGTAGCTGAATCCAGGCCTGCCGGGGTCTCCCTGGAGGGAGAGGGGAGTTACCTGGAGTGTGAGTGTGAGCTGAGGACGTCACACGGGTGGGGTGGCAGGGCTGCCTGTGCTGTGCACGGGGTCACAGGGGCCACCGCCCCACCCCCAGGGAAGGCGAGGAAAGTGACTGCACCCGGAGGTGTGAGCAGGGGCCCTGCCCAGGGGGGCTGTACCTTAGGGCCTGGCTGTCCTGAGTCTCCTCGGGGCCCGGCATCACCGGGGTCTCCCCGAGATCCCTGAGACAGGAGAGAAATGGGGTCAGCACAGTTGCTGGGACAGGGACTGACGGACACCCAGGGATCACCCGCCCACCCAGGCCAGCTCTGACCGACAGGCCACACCACCCTGGCTGGCGGAGAGGGGAGGTGGTGGCAGGTCACGGCCAGGGATGGTGGCTGGCAGCCGCAGATGGGGCCCAGGATCCCGGGGCTGGGGTGCGGATAGGCCCTGATACTGACCTGCTTCCCCGGCTGCCCGAGAGCCCCCTGGGGGCCTCTGGGTCCAGGCAGCCCTCGGTCCCCCTGCAAAGGAAGGGACCAGGCTGGGTCCTTGGGTGGCCTCAGACTCCAAGACCCAGATGTGGGCCCCTCAGATGTCAGGTCCGCTGCTTGGGGGTTCCTGGGCTGGCCCCACCTCAGCCGAGCACAGGGCCTGCGGGGGCGGGGGGCACAGGCCGGTCCCTGCCACCGCCCACCCAGGCCCCAGTACCTTGGCTCCTTTGCCGCCAACCTCTCCAGTCAGGCCGCGGGGCCCCTCAGGGCCAGGATCCCCCTGTGGGAAGGGCCAGGTCAGGTCACAGCTGGGGATGGCGTGGGGTGTGTGGGGAAGGGTCTGACCGCTGTGCAGGAAATGCTGGCCCAGGGGTGTCCCATCCTGCTGTCCTGTCTCCACCGACCACTTTGGCAGGCGCCCTCCTCATCTCCAGGGAACCGAGGGTGGCTTGTGCCACAGAACCCGTCCGCACCACCCTCCAGAGCACGTGCGTCTGTGGCAGGGGCCCTGCGGGGTGGGGCCTCGGTGGCATGGCAGGGATCCCGCCCACCTGTGCCCACTTTCCCTGACCCTGCTGGGTGCAGCCCTCACCCCCGCCCTGAGGTTTGCCTGATGGCTGTGGCCAGCCTGAGGTCTGGAGCACAGGCTGAGGCCCCAGTGCAGAAACAGGCGTGGCCAGGCCCGCAGGCTCCGCAGGGGCTCACCTTCTCCCCCTTGGGGCCGTCACTGCCTGGGCTGCCCTTGGCTCCAGGGTCTCCTCTGCGCCCCTGCAGGGACAGGTGTGTCAGCGGCCACTTGGACTCTGCCCGCCCCGGGCCCTGGTCTGTGTGCGCCAGCCCTCAAGGGTTTAGGGTGGTGGGGTCCTGCGCAGGCTGCAGTCCTAGGCAGCTGGCGTTTGAGGCCTTGCCTGGGCACTGCTGGGCCAGGATGGGGCCCCTCTTCGGGCTGTGTCTCCTCTCGGCCAGCGCTAGGGTTGGCCACCTCCCCAGTTCAGACCTCGGGCGCCTGCAGGGTGTGGCTGGGGCCCGGGCTGTTTGCCATGGGTGGCGAAGGCGGAAGGGACCCTTGGCCTGGGGCTGTGGCCGGAGACTCACAGGCTCGCCTTTGGGTCCGCGGGGCCCAGGTCCGCCCTTGGCTCCTTTCACACCCGGACTTCCAGGGGCTCCATTGTTGCCTTGGTAACCCTGTGACAGGACAGGACAGTGCAGCCTCTGTGAGCAGATGCATGCAGGGGCTGAGGCCCTCGGGCCCGGGGTTCTGGCGCCTGGCAGCAGAGGACAGCCTGACTGCACGCGCTTAGCAGACAGCGGGTCCAGTGGTCCTTCCGTGCTCACACCCCTGAGGGCGGAGCAGCCGGTGGCTGGCTGGCCGGTCCCAATGGGCTTACCTTGCTTCCTTTGTCTCCGGGGTCTCCGGGGGGGCCCCTGCGTCCTGAGCGGCCAGCATCCCCCTGTGAGGTTTGGAGAGATCCGCTCAGTCCTCTGCAGGGAGTGGCAGGACCAGGCGGGACTTGGGGTCTCCCACCTGGCCATCCCATCTCTGGGGCACCCGGGGTGTCAGGCCCCGGTGTGGTCTGCACGGGTTACTCTGAGCCCTCTAGGGCCACACAGGGTGGAGGCAGGGTCAGGGTCCTGGGTGGGCTCGGGGAGCAGCTTCCCCGCAGGGCTCCTGGTGGCGCCAGTCATGCGTGGCTGACCGTGGGGACAGGCGTTCTCTCTGTGGGCTTCCTTCTCAGTCACCCACCTTGGCGCCCTGGTCTCCTTGCTCTCCTGGGCTGCCGGCGTCCCCTGTGTACCCGTCAGGGCCCTGAGGGGAGGGGAGCAGCAGTGTCGGCCGGGGCCCTGGCTGCCGAGGAAGGGCAGCAAAGCGCTGTCCTCTGGGCTCGGGGGTGTCTCCCCCAGCTGTGGGGCCCTGGCTCCACGGGACCCCCATCCACAAGGCTGGCCCTGAGGATTCAGCCACGGCACCCAGCCCACAGGAACACCAGGCCGTTGGATGGCCCTGTCCCGGAAGCACCTGAGGGCTGTGTCCAGAGATGGGCAGGGAGGGGCTGGGTGGCCAGGAGGAGCCAGGTGCCTCAGAAACCTCACCTGGTCTCCAGGGACCTAGAGTCCCTGCCCTAGGAGCCCAGAATCCTCACCCGGTCTCCGGTGTCTCCCTTGCAGCCCGGGGGTCCAATTCGGCCCAGCTTGCCCTGAAGGAGGAAGGGGCAGAAGAGAGGTCATGTGGTTTTGGGTCCAAGGAGGGAGAACAGGGACCACTGGCTACGACACAGGGCTGAGGGGGCACCCTGACGGGTGCTTCCTGGGGACAAGGCCAGGGCAGTGTCCCCCACCCCTGTGTGCATGGCGTGCACAAGTGTGCCACATGTGTGTCTCTGTGCACGGCCAGGGCAGCACTAGGCGGAGGCTCACCCTACCTTCTGCCCATCGGTGCCGTTCTTGCCTGCCAGCCCGGGGGCCCCCTGGAAAGGGTTAGAGGTGTGGTGAGCGCTGAACCTGGTCCCCTCGGCAGTGGGGAAGTGGGTGCCGCTTGCTTACCTTCCTTCCGTCGGCTCCAAACTCTCCCTGTGTGAGGGAAAGCGGGCGTGAGCTGAGCTCCCAGCATGGGGCACCACCTCCTCTGGGGCCTAGGCTGAGCCCTCAGGCCAGCAGAAGGCTGGAGGAACCCCATTTCACCACCCCAGACCCAGTCTCCCCCAGGAGCGAGGACAGCCTGGTGGGCTGCGCATCTTTCTGCTTCGGACTCCGCCATGGAAACTTACCTTCTCTCCTTTGAAGCCAGGCACACCCTAGGGCAGAGGGAAAGGACAGAGATCACCAGGGCACCCTGGGGTCCTGGAGGGTGGGGTTGGGAGGACGGGGAAGGGGGGAGACAGGCTGAGAACATAGGATGGGCAGGGTCCAGTGTCTGTCGCCTGGAAACCACGCGCAGGCTCTGCACGAAGGTTGAATGAGGGGTCAGATGGACGCTCGGTTTATCGTCAAACTGAGAAGGTAACAGGGTAGGGGGACCTGCCCCAGCCAGTGCAAGTCCCTTGAAGCAGGCCCCTCACCACCTGGTGGAGCTCACCTTGGGTCCTGGGAATCCGATGGGGCCTTCGATGCCGGGGTCCCCCTGTGAAAGAACGTGGCTTTGGATGGAGCCCAGCTCTGGGGTGCGGAAGGGTGGCTGGGAGCGTGGGGTGGGGTGCTTACCTGTCGCCCCTTCTGGCCGGGCTCTCCTGGCTCACCCATGTTGCCCTTGGCACCCTAAAGCAGACGGCAGGGAAGGGGGTAAACTGAGGGGAGGGTGGAAGGGTGGGCAATGGGGACCTCGCTGGCTCCCCTGGGGGGCAGGTTAAGGGCCACTGGTCACCCCAGATCTTGGAGTCAGTCAGCCACCCCTGAAGTCCCAGCCTCTGCCTCTCCTGAGCCCCAGGAAGCCACCCTGCCAGGGGCTCCCTTCTGCATCCATGGCTGTGACTGCAGGCTCCGACTGTCCCTAGGACTGTGTGGCATTCATGGTGACATTAATCCTCGAAATAGGGTGAGGGCCCCAGTAACTGCCCCCAGATCAGGGCTTCAGGAAGCCATGCCTCCACCCCCTGGAATGGAGTTTATTGATGATTGCACCCACTTATTGATGTGCTTCCTGTTCAGGTGCAGCGGGGCAGAGGAGCGGGAGACTTGAGGAATGAAATGGGGCCTGAGCACAGAGGCTCTGAGGGCCACAACTGTGCCCTGCTCCAGGCCTCTGTGTGCCCCCACCGCTCTGCCAATTCCACTCCTTTGCCACCAGGACCAGACACCAGGGAAGGGGGTGCAGAGGGTTTGGCCAGTGGCCAGGGGATGTCTTGTCAGACCCCTGCTGGCCTGGAAGCTGTCACAGCATTTGGAAAAAACGAAGGAGGCTCCCGAGTGGTAACATCCCCTGAGAGTTACTGTAAATGCTCAGTCTGGTCTGGCTGCAGAATTCTCCCGCCTCTGCCTTGAGGGGTTTTTTTTTTTTTGGTACCGGGGATCGAACTTGGGACCTTGTGCTTGCCAGGCAGGCGACGGAACCACTGAGCTAAATCCCCGGCCCTGCCTTGAGGTTTTTGACAGACAGAATAGTTGGAGTTTCAGACTCTCTGGTGGTAAAGTCTGGAAGGGTCCTGTTCCGTGCACCTCCTGCCATCTAATAAGCCACACCGTAGGTGCCCACTGTAGATCCTAGCCATGTCCCCAACTTTAGGGTGTCTTGGGTTAGACCTGCGTGTACTTGCCTGCTTGACAAGTGTTGGAGTATGGTATGGCTTAATAATTTTTTTTAAGGTCTTAGTTTTCTCAAAATGTTGTTTAAAAGGGAGTGGACAGATCTGAATTCAGTTTCTCAGGGTGGGATGTGGGAGACACCTAGGTTCAGCTGGCCTCAGATGCGGGGTTCGAGGTGGCCGGACGCTCACCTTCTGTCCTCGGTAGCCCTTGGGGCCGGGTGGCCCAGGGATCTCCAGGCAGCTCACCTTGTAGCACTGAAATGAGAAGGGACAGTGGAGGGACAGCAGCTCAGGCTGTGGGAAGAGTCCCCGGCAGGAGAGGGTTCGGGACACATGTGGCTGGGACTCACAGAGAGGCCCCACAGTGCCCGTCAAGCCCAGGGGACCAGAATGAAGAAGCAGACACGCGAGGCACTGACTAGGTGGGGCCTTCCTCTCTCAAGGGTTGTAACAAGGTTGAAGAACTGACCAGGCGCCGTGTACAGGGATTAAGCCACGGTCTCTGAGAAGCAGCTTGGAACACACTGAATGGGCCCTCAGGCACCTGCTCCCCTTTCCTGGGAGCCAGGGCTGGCACACGGCACACAGGCAAGCGGGGTGTCACAGACATGTGCGGACACACACTGCCACTGCCTGACCCAGCCTGGGTTGGACACAGCTGTCCCCAGGGCCACGACCCTCGACCCCTGCACTCATGGACGACCTAGCTCCGACCCAAGCAGCCTGGTTTGGGGGAAAGCCCTTGTCCAAGTCCAGAGATTGGGTCCAACACAGAGCAGACAATTTTGGCCCCTCTCCTCCACGTGTAGCTCCAGCCCCCAAGAGCCGGAGCCTCAAGCTGTGCCTTGAGGGGTCTTCGGAGGCAGCAGGCAGCAGGCCCGCGCAGGCTCCACTCACCTCTCCGTAGGCTTCGTGCTTCTGCAGAAAGACAGGGAGGGCTTGGTCAGTGCGAGCCTGGGCTTGTGGGGTGACCCAGCCTGGTGGGGCCTCACCCGTCCCTCCCCGCGGGGCCCACCGCTCACCATGACCTTGATGATGCGGTTGATGGTGTCCTGGTCGATCTCAGTAGAGTCCGGCCGCATGGTGGCGTAGTTGCTGCGGTAGAGCTCGTGGGGGGTGCTGGCGAGGTCCCGCAGGCCCTGCTCGTTCAGGTTCTGATTGGGCGCCACAGCGAAGAGCCGGATGCCCTCGTCACGGGCCCGCTCGGCCTGCAGCTTAATGCCGCCGCACGGGCTGCCCGTGACGTGGCCGTCAGTGATGACCACGGCGAAGCTGACGCCGCGGGGCCCCGAGCGGCGGATCTCCTGTGTCATGTTGGCCAGCGCGCAGTCGGTAAAGGTGCCTCGGCGGAAGGAGCTGATGCCCTGCAGGCTCTTGGTGAAGGAGGCACGGTCACTGCCTGGCGGGCTGAAGACCTCCACTTGGTCGGAGAAGTGCAGGCCGCCGTAGCGCCAGCTGAGCGCCACCTGGTCCAGGTAGAGCTCGTTCTGCAGCTGGCTGATGAGCTGCGGCACAAACTGCTGCATGTGGTAGAGCAGGCTGTCGGTGGGCGACTGCATGGCCACACTCTCAGAGGTGTCCAGTACGAAGTACACGTGGACAGGGCAGTCGGTTTTCTCTGGGGACACGGGGTGTCATGGCCTGCCCGGCGGGGCCCCTTCCCCACCCTGTGGCCACTCCCGCCTGAGCCCTGGTACCTGGGCAGCCGTTTGTCCTCTCAGAGGTGACAGTGTCAGGTGAGATGAGCTCTTGCTGCTGGGCATGGAGAGTCCCCAGGAGCCCCCCGAGCAGCAGTGCCATGAAGGGGCCCCGCAGCATCCTAGTGGTCGCCTTGGGCCTCAGTCCTGCAAGGGAGGGGCACTGTGAGCAGCAGCCCCGAGGAAACGTCCCTTCGTCATCCAGGCTGCCTGGCCCATGGGCAGCAGGCAGGGGCCTGGTGCACAGTGCTGCTGCCCGGCCCTCAGCGGGGCTCCCACCCACAGTGAGCTCATCTGGGCTCCGTCCAGGGCAGTCCTGTCGCCCATGCTCCCATCCATTTGCCCAGGAAGTGAGGGGAGGGAGGAAGATGCTGCTCTGCCTGGTGGCTCCTAGGCCCTGTGTGTGACCTTGGCCAAGGCCATGCCCTCAGGCCTGGTCCCCTTCACTGGGGATGTTGGTGGGGACCTTGGTGAGGACAGAAGGAGGTCAATGCTGTCCAGACCTAGTGGTTCCTGGCACAGTTTTGCGTCAGGCTCCTGCTGATCAAGTCCCAGTGAGCCTGTGGTGTGTCTTGGGCCCTGGCATGATGCCTGAGGAGGCCACCTGCACGGGCCCAGAGCTGGCCTTGCTGTGCCTGCTGGCCGGGTCATATGTGGCCTGGGGACCCCAGAGCAAGGCTGGCAGCCACTGGGTCGAACAAGTCCTGGAGTTGTTGGAAACGCCCACTCTTATGGGACGCAGAGCCAGCACCACCCTGCTCTGCACAAACGTCCACCCCAGCTACTGAGGGCCATGACCCGGGGCCATGTCCCAGCATCAGCCTGCAGGGGTAGCAACACAGTGCTGGGGGTGGGTGGACATGTGTCCTGTGGCCCTCACCTGCCCACACTGGGTGCAATGAGACTGGCAGAGAGGATGCTGGAGCAGGGATAAGTTTGAGTCCCCGGGAAGCTGCTGAGGGAAGGAGGCCCATCCGGAGGACAAATGTTCAAACAGCTTTAGCTGGAGAGGGCAATGGAGCCAGGGAGCCAGGTTTGGTACTAAATATGACAGATGATGATAAGAAGTTCACTGAGAGCTTGGAAAAGGAAGAGAGCAAAGGAGATGAAGGAACCGGTGAGGGACAGAGCTCAGACCTGGAAATGAGTGGGCAGGAGACAGGGGGCCTCAGGAAAAGTGACAAAGTGACAGAGCTGCCAGCCGAGGACTGGGAGCTCATCCCTCCCAGGCAAAGGGAGCTAAGGAAGTGAGGCCACGTGGAGGGACAATGGGAGCCAACTCTTGGTGTAAGGAGAATTCTAGAATACATGCACAGGCAAACACAACATCAGAACAAAATGCAGGAAGTGCCTCCAGGGAGCTCACGTGGGTGCAGAGGCAGATGGAAGCTGTGTCCATGCCCTGTCCTCTCACACCTCTTGCTCTGGGCTGTGCATGAGGACAGAGTGTGGCTTCCACACCATGGAGATGCCTGCTGGCCTTGGCGTGGCTTGCTAAAGGGGAGGCCAGTGGCCACATCACGTGGATACAGCAGGGTGGCCTCCAACTTGGGAGCAGACCCTTCAGCCGTTGTCAGCTTCCTAATGGCCTTGGCCTGGCCTGGATCTCTACTGCCCCATGCAAGACCCAGGGCCAGTGCTGCCCAGTGGAGCCCTCCTGAGCTCCTGACCCAAAGATGTATGAAATTGTACAGAAAGCTGCTGATTCTCTTCTGTCAGTCTCAAACAATCAGAAAATGTTACAGAAAAAATACTGCTCACACCAGCAAGAAAAGCAAAACAAATCCAGGGAACAAAGTTAACAAGAATGCACAGGACTTAGGGAAAAAACTCAGCAGCCCTCCCCCCCAGCCCCAAGGACAAACCTTATCCTTGTTTTGTTCTTTCTTTTTTGGTACTGTGGATCGAACTTGGGTCCTTGGTGCTTTCGAGGCAGGCGGCGGCGGAACCACTGAGCTAAATCCCTGGCCCCAAACCTTGTCTTTGGATAAATCATCCAAATATCTTAACAGATATTACAAATATCAGTTATTTCTAACCTAATTTATAGTTAAGTGCAATTCTAATTAAAATCTCCAAGAACAATTTTTGTTGGTAAAAGTTGGCAAGATCAATCTAGGTTTCACCTGGAGGAATAAGAGTAGATGAGAAAAGTTTAAGAAGAGTGGTGAGAAAACAGGGCTGTGAAGTGTGAATGCCTGGGAACCTGAGACAGGGACCACCCCCTTCCTCGCCTGAGACCCAGGGGCAGTGCCACCCTGGGGAGTGCACCAAGAGCTGGACAGGTCCCAGTGTGCGGTTGGCTCCTCATTTTCGTAAGGTGTAGGGATTTATATGGATACATTTTTTATAACTGTCATATCTTCTTGTTGTATTGAGAATTTTATTACTATGTAACTTTCTTTGTCTCTTGTAACCTCTTTTGATAGTATAGCTACTTGTGTTCTCTTTGCTACTCAATGGAATATCTTTCCCCATCTTTTCACTATCAACCTATTTGTGCCTCTGGATCTAAAGTCAGTCTTGAATATACAGCAAAAAGCTGAGTTATGGCGTTTTGAATCCAGTCTGACAGTCTCTGTCTTTTGATTGGAGAATTTAACCCATTTACAGTTAGCATAATTACTGATGAAGAAGACTTCTGTCTCTTCGTATCCGTTATAGCTTATAGCTTTGTGTCCCTAGATTTCCCTATTGCTTTCTTCTTTTGTGTTTGATTTTTGGTGTAAAGTATTTAAATCCTCTTCTTATTTCCTTTGTATTACTTTATTACTTATTTTCTTTGTGCTCACCATGGGGATAACACTTAACATTCTAAAATTAAAACACCTGAATTTAGGCCAACTTAAATTTAATAATGTACAAAAGCTGCTCCTTGAACAGCTGTATCCCCACCCTTTTCATTTACTGATGTCACAAAATTACATCTGCATATAGTATCTGTATGGAGATGTATTAGTATCTGTATGAGTATCTGTCCCTCAGTCAGATACTAATGGGACTGGTTCTAAACCGCTTGTGGATACCAGAATCCGAAGCTCAAGTCTTCTATAAATGGTGTGGTTCTTGCATCTAACCTGTGCTGATCCCCCCTTTACTTTAGTATATGTGCTGCCAAAGTGAGCACCCCTCTTTACTTTTAATCATCTCTCCATTGCTTTCAATGCCTAGCATAGGGTAAATGCCATGCAAATAGTGCTGTACTGCATTGTTTACAGACAGTGACCTGGAGAGAAAGGTCCATATGTGTTCAGTACAGACACAATTCCTTTTCAAATATTTTTAGTCTGTAGTTGTTTAAATTTGTGGATGTGCAGCCCACAGTTATGGGGGGCTGACCATATGTTATGTCAACGCATAACTATTTTAATGCATTAATTTCTGAAATTATTTTGCAAATAAGATGTGAAATTACAAATCACAATTATAATAATATTAGCTTTTAGACTTTTTTTTTTAAAAAAGCACGCTTTAAAATTCATATAGAAAACAAAACTGGAGTTATACTTCATTGGCTCAATGATACTAGCTTTTGTACTTGCCTGTGTATTTACCTTTCCAGAGAGCCTTATTCCTTCACGTGACTTTGATGCTTATCTAACACTTCATTTCAGCCTTCAGGCTGCCCGCTAGCATTTCCTGCAGGACAGGTCTAGTGCTGATGAGCCTGCCTGTCTGCCTTCCTTCCTTCCTGCCACTTCTGTTGTCTTAATTTTTTCTGTAGTTTTAAGGGACGGTTTTGCTGGATATAGGTTTCTTGGCTAACAGTTTGAATATGCCAGCCCACTGCCCTCTGGCCTCTGAACTTTGATAGTAAATCTGCTGGTGTCTTATTGAAGAGCCTTTGTATGTGATGAGTTATACACACCTCAGAATTGCTGCCTACAAAATTCTTTGTTTTTTGAGTTTGGTTATACTGTGTCTCAGTGTGGGCCTCTGAGTTCATCCTGCTTGGAGTTCATGAGAGTCTTGGATGTTTATATTCACGTCTTTCATCAAATCTGTGATGTTTTCTTTCAGCCATTATTTCTTCACATATTCTTTGTCCCTCTGCCATCTCACCCTGCGGGATTCTTGCACTGTACACGTCAGGCATCTTTACGGGCCTCCTTGGGACCTAAGCTCCTCACTCTGTTCACTTTTCTCCAGCCTTTTTACTTTCTGTTCCTCATTCTCAATAATTTCCACAGCCCTCTCTTAAAGTTCACTGATTCTTTCTTCTCGCAGCTCAACACAACCTTTGACCTCCTCTAGGGAATTCTCTGCTTCAGGTGGATTTTCCAGCTCCAGATCCTATTTTTGGTTCCTCATTCCCATTTCACGCATGGTTTTCTCCACTTTCCTCACATCTTCCTTCCGTTCTTCGAGCATCTCTAAGACAGCTGCTTTAATGTCCTTTTCTCGTCGACCTCCTGTTTGGTCTTCTTCACAGATGGTGTCGGTTGTCGCTTCTGCCCTGGGTGCCTTGTGATGCTTTGTGACACTAGATGTTTGGAAATCAGAGTCTCCCCAACCCCAGAACTGCTGCCGTTTGCTCCATCTGTGACTGTTGTGGATACCTCTGTGCCCAGGGGCAGCCGGGAGTGTAGATGTAGGGTCCTCGGGTCCTATCTGAGCCTGCACCTTCCCCAGGGAGCTGCAGTGACTTTCTGGCTTCCTCTGTACATATGGCTCCTTTAGGATATGCTTATGTGTGGCTTCTAAAGAGGGAACAGAGGAAAGGAAGGGAGAAAAAACACCTGCCCTTGAAGTGGCCTGGAAGGTGCAACAAGTTTGAAAAGGCAGAGCCTAAAAAGCAATTTGTCAGACCCCAATATTGTGAAGTTAGAAATCAACAGCTAAAGGAAACCAGGAAAATCACAAATTTGTGGAAATTAAGCAACATTCATAGGCCAGTGGATCAGAGAAGGAAGAAGCACAAGGGAAGTTAGAAAAACTTCGAGATGGGGCTAGGGATTTAGCTCAGTGGTGCCACCGCCTGCTCTCAAGCACAAGGTCCTGAGTTCAATCCCCGGTACCAAAAAAAGAAAAACTTAGAGATGAATAAAAATGAAACAAGAATTTCCAAAACTTGTGGTACACAATGAAAGCAGTGCAAAAGGGGAAACATTTAGTTATAAATGTTTGCTTTAAAAACAACAAAGAAG